ACTACATCAAAATGAGGATTTGTCCCGTTCCCCTTTTTCAGGAAGATCCGTAGGTCACTCATTGTACCTTCAGCGAACTCAGCGAGCGCGATGAAGATGGATAGGTCTTCTCGCTTGAACCCATCAATCTTAACATACCTGTAGGGGAAGCTCGACCTGGCAGTAATCAGATTGAGACTGTCAAGGACCGACCGGTCGACTGTGATAGGGTTTATTTCTCTCATGTGTTTGGTAAATTGTTGCTCCCTGATGGAGGAAAAAAGAAAGGCTGAGCTTGACAGACAGGCGTCCGTGGCTTGAATGCCTTTTGAAAGTTGTTCTGAATACTGATTGACAATTGATCAACAAATTGATTGATTGCTAATCGAAGAACTGATTAACTGTTGAATTGAGAACTGAACGATTGCTGAGATTCTGCTGACTGAAGCTAAGTGCTGTTGAGATTATGCAGACTGAGACACAAGCGGTTATCGGGTAGCTAAAAATTCAGGAATGAAAATTCTGAAGTGAGAGTTTTGGGCAGTCTGAAAATCCTGAATGGTTCTGAAGAGGTGAAAGGTCCTTGAAAACCACCTGTTTAGGCAGGCTGCATCCTGAAGTGATAAAGGGTCTCCTGAAGTGGTGAAGTGAAAGTTTCGGGCAGTCTGAAAATCCTGAATGGTTCTGAAGTGCTGAAAGGTCCAAAGACAATGAAAACCACCCTTCACCACTACAGGATGCAACCTGCCTATACAAGTAGTTTTCAGGGTCTTCGGAGCTTTCACCACTTCAGAACCATTCAGAATTTTCATACCTGAGTGGCCCTGAAGTGGTGAAAGGTCCGAAGACCCTGAAAACCACCTCTTTAGGCAGGCTGCATCCTGAAGTGGTGAAGGGTGTGTCCTGAAGTGGTGATGAAAAATACGACTGTTGTTAACCTTCTCTCGAGTGAGAATCTGAGTACTGCAGGAGTACACGTAGCAGAAGTTATGGAGCCACAAGTCACAAAATCACTGGTTTCGACTGTTAGATGTTGAGCACAAAGTATGCAGATTGATAAATGACTGATTGTTGTTAGATAGGACTGATTGAGTGCGTGAGAGAAAGTTACTTGATAAGTTAGCGTCTTTCTCGAACCAACTGAATGTCAGACTGGGGTACTGCTGATTGAGAACCGAAGAATGTTGGGTACTGACTGAATAACAGTTGAGTATTGTCTGAGTGACTGATTTGAGAGTTGTTGAAAATTGATTGCATGTCGCTTGTTTACTGGTAACAGTGCTGAGTCCAGCTAGCTAGTAACTGCGTTGAGTAGTGATCTCGGTCAACCGCACTGAGTATCTGAAACCATCAGTTGCTTACTTATTAGAATAGTTGGTGAAACCTCCAATGAGACCCCTCACGCTCTTCTAGGCTTCACCCTGACCTATTCAACCTACTCAATAGGCAGGTAGGTACTGTACGTCTAACTGAAAACCAGTTTCTGATCCAGCCCGCTCTCCTTAGTTTATTCTCGACAAAATGCATGCTCTTCCCTTGTGAAAATCGATGACAAAAATTCCCTTACTAGTCACCAGCCAAAACCTTCCTTACTCCTTCGACAGACCTTACCGAAGTGATAGTGCTATGCAACCTTCCGTCACCCTCGTAAAGGGAGTAGATGAATTCTATATACGTTTGGTTTTTCACCAGCATGAGGGCATAATCTATCACGAGCCTCGTCTGATGATGAAAGTCTTCAATTACTTTTTTTTCCCAACCGTCTGATCGGCCCCGGTGCTTCGAACAAGTTGCTCTCACTGTGTTTCCGTCCCCCATTCCTTCACTGAGTCCTATCACATCAGCCTTTGGATGCAGGACCTGAGGTTTACGGGGATTAAGGTATGAGAGACTTCGGCACAAGCTTCTGCCGACGAGTAGTTGGCAGAAATGACTACTGACATTTCTAGCCTGCTAACTAATCCATTTGCTGCTCATATTTCAATGACGTTCCTTTTGGTCGACAGTGACCCGTTTCGAATCAGGCCCGTTCTTCCTAGTCTATCCTTACTTGATACCTCCGCCTTTCTCTTGAGATAAACAACTGAGAATTTTCACTGACCACCAGAATCGCCCCCTCTTGCACAGCCAAATAGAGTCAGGTCCCACTGTGCAGCCCTCCATCTCATCCATAGGTATGGAAGGTGCACTCAACGAAACCCTGGTATCTCACTGCCTGCAGGGCTTGCTCATCAAGCCTTAGGCGAGAACAGGTATCCTATGCAACATTCCCTTCTCAATCCTTTGCCTTACCTCAATTCAAAGTGCAGATTATTTTTAATATGCTCTCGCCCCCCCCACCCCCCCCCTCTTTTTCTACACTGAGTTTCGATGTGGCGCTTGAGGGTCTCACCAGAGGGTCCTTGGATGATGGAGTTTCCAGTGGGGTCACTTTATGCAAGTTTGCTACAGACGAATAGGTCTTTAAGCTGACAAGCGAACATCCCTTTGTGGCTGGTCCACGGTTAGGGCTTTTCACGTCGGCCCAGCTAATATGACCAATAGTTAAAGTTGTAATCAAACAGATCCATGCATCCTTTTCTGAAACCGTTTCAATAGACGCGACTCCTCTTTTTATTTGGAGAACTGGGCGTAGTTGTCGCAAGTCATGTTCAGTTAGTGCCTGAGCCAACACTGAATACAATTTCTACTTGATTAGCAACAATGCAGCCTTAGCATCAGGTACGGTTTGTTCCGTACAGGATGTCGCTGACAGCGATCTGATTAAAGCGTCGACGGTGGTAGTTCTGACTTCATGGCTCAAGACCCAACTTACCTGGAGACCTCTGCCCGAACCACCTAGCATCACAAGTGAAACTTGATGACTGACCACCTAGGCACGAATTACAGATCAGAGTGGAAGGACATGCACAAGAAGGAACGTTCTGGCTCACCGTTTCTGAGCAGTTCACTCCGAAAAGGAGTGAGGCTTACCAACGCAACTTTTGTGATAATCCCCTTCTTCCTTAGCTAGACGTTGCAGATCAGAGAAGCGATAGAATGAGAGTTAATCAATCACCATCTATCAAGTATTTAGCCAGGAAGTAAGCAACCCTTCTAAGCACAGACTTTCTCTTGCTCATCATTTGTAGATAGATAGACCAGGTCGGTTACCCTGTCTTAAAGTAGACCCAGGATAACAAAGTTTTAGCCACTCTTATTTGGATAGCAGGTGCTTAAATGGGGCTACTTTGCATTCATGACAAGCCTTTGAGTCTGCTGACCCAGTTTTAAGTGAGCCACGTTAGCCTTCATGATTCCAATGACCCTTGCAGTGAAGGGCTCAAGGGAGCGAAAAGCTGTGGCGGCACCAAGTATAGCTAGGGGAAGTGGGGAAGTTCGCAAAAAAAAGAAGACCAGGAACCCAGGGGAAAAAGAGAGAAAAGTTACGAAAAGCACTCAGGCAGGTTGATTAAAGCCTTATCTGTGAATATTTTCCCCGCCCTCCTTTTTCTGTTTCCCAAAAACACAGTCTCACTTATCACCCCAATCCAAACATCCCATTAGCTTTCGGCACTTGTTACATAACCTCCATGGTACCTGCTCACTGATGAGCCTGCCTATTCCTATGAATACAGATGGTCACTCAAATTACAAGGACCAGATCACTCCTTATCTCCTCCCCAAGAAACCAGTGTGAGTAAATCCCGATCTCCTTCTCGATCACACTCCCAGGTAACCAGCTCAGTAAAGGCAGGGTCACCATCAATTGATGGCTCGGGGAAATCGATGTAACGACTAACAGCCACGACTCATCTCTTGATTGACGACTACATGAGCCCTCGATCAGCAACGTGGCTGGCCCTGAATCGACACTTAGGCACACTGACCTCAGAATTTTTCCAAAAAAAAAAGAAGTCTTAATTATCAAAGGATAACCAACCAGGAATGAGGAGTTATAATATTGTCAAGAATACGCCAAGCTCAAACCGTTGGAAGCGAATGACTTGAAGCGGAAGCGTTTGCCAATAGAGGGTCAGCGCACTCCAACCCGTAAGAGTGATCTCAAAAGTCGTGCCCTCGCTCTCCCTCTCAATCACCTAGGCTTCTTCGTCTGCTCACTAGTGCTTATACACCCTCAGCATTTTCAAACCGGTTCACCCAACTCTATCTCCGTCCGTAGTCGTAGCACGTCTCTCGTCACTTACCAATAATTGACGTCAACAGCCAAACTCAACTCTGTCGCGCACAACAGAGGCAGCGCGTATAGTCTCATAAGGCAAAAGGGCAAAAGCAGTATATCATTGGTGTAATCCGGAGATAACGACAGCTCGTTGGCTAACCATAACCCGACATTTGACCACGAACCAAGGATACAACTTCCTCCCACCAAACACTAGGCACCTACCATGGTCACTCTGCGCTCATCCCAGCTCGGCTACGACGAGCCAGGTTCGTCCATCGAGAGCAGCGAACATAGCAAAGCCCCCGACCAGTGAGCGACACTCATATTCTGACGCTAGCAAGAAGCTTAATCTGCCTTGATCAAGCTCAGGTCAAGCCCGTGCGGAAAACTATTTGCGTCAGCAGCAACCCGCACAAGAATGGCGCTTCTAAAAAAAAAAAAAAAAAAGAGAATGGGTAAACGGTAATGACGTGTCCTCGCATGCGCGAGCAAAGCAGGCCCTTGTGCCGAGAGTAACGGGGAACAGATATCTCTCTATGGATGGCAAACCAAAACGCAAGAGACGGAAGCGAGAACGACATCAATCAACACCATGCGTGCGAAAACTTCCCTCAAACCTCCTCTCTTCTCTCGCTCTTTTCTCTTTCTTGCCAACTGTAGTCAGCTCATGCATCACACGAGCGTGTAGGTGGTGGTTGTCGTCAACCACACTGCGCGTTTTTTTTTTTTTTTTTTTATCTCGTTCTTTGACCTTCTCTTATTGCCTCAAGCCTTGCCACATGCAGCCTGCACACGCGCGTAACCACCCTCGCCCCTCTCTCTCTCCGCTATTGATCTTTTTGCGCCCCTCTCAGACATGTTTTTTCCCCCTGTTCTGCTTCTCACTCTTCTCGCGGCCTCTTGGCGTCAATTGTCGAGAGCTGGCCTCAGATCCCTCTTCCACCGGCTTTGCGTCGCGATGATACCTCTGGACCTCGCCTGGTTCATTCCAGAACCTGAGGTCCGTCTCCCGATCTCCCGCTTCGCTCATTTCGCTCTCCCCACCTAAGTCCTTGTCCAGGTGGGCCTGCTCTCTGTCCGCCATGTCAGTGGAAGTCTCAGTCTCATGATAAGCCACCGTTATCCGTAGCCTCGTCGTCACACCGTCCCTGCTGCAGCACCTCTCCGAACGATCTCTCAGCTCTGTGACTGCGTCCTGCAGCTTTGGGTTAGTCCGCATCTCTCCCTCTTTCGCTCCCTCCACATTAATCTTCAACTGCACCTCGTCCCCACCGTCATAGTTGAGTATCACTGTAACGGGCCTGGTGGTACCAGTAACCAGGCGTGTATCCGTACAACGCCATAGCCGTTCTTCTCTCAGTAGTCAATGTTAGCACTCAATTCGTACTAGCCTGCACGCGAGACTACCGGACAGGCTAAGTCCCGACTATCGAGAAATCGAAGCCTCAGCGTATATCACTGCTTACACCTGCGGAGCAATGACATGCCCCTCACAGGCAACAGCCCCTGTTTTATAGGGCTCAGAGTGGCCGCGATCCCTGCGTACTAAAGGGAAATTCAAATAATAACTTAGAATTCTTGAAATTAATAAAATAACACAAATTTTAATAATTTTTGAGCAGGTAAGGCGGAATTTCAACAGTCAGTGTACAGACAAAACACTTGCTTTATAGCTACATCAGTCCCTATTCAGAGCGAAGTGACTAGGGTCTCAGAAAAAAAAACAGAAGTCCCATAACGGGACACTGATAGCCTTACCCTTCTCTTTAAAAATGCATCGTCGTTCCACCCTTATCGAGTGCCCGTGTCAAATGGCAAGGAGGGGGCTTATGACCCTCCATGGGGGGTGATAGGCCTCCTACCGATGCGGCCGCGGGTCGCCCCTCTTTCGGGGCCTCACCGTGCGGCGCTCAATCGAAGTTCACCCACAGACGGTATACGTAAGGTCGGCCAACTTAGGCTGTGGACCACTGAGCTCGAAATTCGAACCGTTGGCCTTCCCGCGAAACGACAGGCCAACAGGGAAAAAATTGAAAATAGAAGAATTAAGTAATAATAATAATAATAATGATAGCAGTAAATCAGAAACGGAAAGAAAATCGTAGCTTCGAGGATTTTTCCCAAACTAAAACGAGTTCAAATTAGGCATTTTATTTTCCGTTTTCTCTTTTTTCTTCTGACAACGACTTCTATCCCGTGCACGTAACCCATAACCTGGTTAGGAGGCATTTGGACCGCAGTAAAAAAAAAACACCCTGGCCTTTTCACCTTCGCGTCCCATGGCGAACCCGGCGGCTACCACAGCTTAAGGCCGATAGTGCTCTGCTGTACAACAGGGTGCCGAACCTGCGTGGACCAATGGAAGTCCTGTGGCACACCCTTTTTGCTGAGGGCAACGTCACCAGGACCGGTCCGCGCCGAAAAACAGTCCGGGTACCAGGCCTACAGCACGAGATGAGCCTAGTGATCAGTAAGTCGGGACTAGGGACTAGCACTGAGCGAGGACCTGGTACACAAAGGAGGGCCGGAACACCGCGCCCTCCGACACCGGGGCCACACCCACCACTCGTGGGACCGGGGTAGCTGCTGGTGCGGGGCCGGGGGCGGGACCAACAGCCGG